CTCAGATCGTAACTTTACAACAAATTTCATGGAACATTTAGCCCTAAATCTTTAAACACTTTTCTTACAATTAAGTGTCTGTACTGTATCTCCCACCAGCGAGAGAAAGAAACAAGGAGTCTGAACGCAACGTTCTATTCACTCTCTTTCTCCCTCCATCGAACGCAACCGAGACTCGCACACCGCGCGCCGCACCGAAAGCCGCACCGAGAGCTCGCTGTTATTTAACTGACGACTGCGACCTAATTTGCACCTGTAGCCGCGACAGCGTGGCGGGAGGGGGGCGGGTGCAGTGGGTGCAGTCTTCTGTTTGGACGGGAAGCGGCGAAACAAACCAGCCTGTACGACGTGTTCAGCCGTAATGGGATCGAGATGACAATCAGCGTGTTGGCCACAGTGTACCGCGGCTCAGACCGTACCGGCAACAGCCGAGGCACCAGCCGAGGCACCAGCCCCACCAGACGTCTTATCGCGCCAAAAGTTAAGACTGCCGCTGGCTGCGGCCGAGCCGACTCGCCCCTTTGGGCCTTTTTGCCTCCACAGCGGCGGCGGCAGCGGCGCCCATACAGCCGAACCAGACATATTTCTCATACCTGCTCCAGATAATCCCTCTGAAAGTTTTGTTGGGCGGCGGCGGTGGCGGCACTGCGCGCCCCGCCCTCTATGGGCTGGGCGTGGTCGCGTATGGGTTCAGTGAGGGGCGGCCAGGCCTAGCCAAGCCCGGACACCCCTCCCTCCTCTCTTACCCTTTTTCCTCTCTCCTTCTCTCTCTCTCTCTCTCTCTCTCTCTCTCTCTCTCTCTCTCTCCCTCTCCCTCTCTCTCCCTCTCTCTCCCTCTCTCTCCCCCTCTCTCCCTCTCCAATCCAGTGTCGTCACGCTGATACGAACAAATGGGAAGATCATCGGCAGCGGAACAGATGTGCTGCAATTAAAGGCGCGCGTGTGGACTTCCCCCTCTCCCCCCCCTCGGCCACTTTTCCTCTTTCCCACTTTTCCTCTTTCCCACTCTTCCTCTTTCCCACTCTTCCTCCTTTCGCCCCTCTTAGTGTATACCACGCTCGCTTTTCTGTCCTCTCCCCGGCTCTATAGTAGGAAACGGGGGCGTGGACCTTTGCACTGCTGAAAATCTGTTGCAGGAACGAAGCGGGTAAAAAACGCAAGAGGGAGAAGGGTTGGTGTAAATAAGTGGGCCTTGCGGCTGTTTGCGCGATGCAAGGAATGGGTCCGGGTTTGGCCCGGATGTCACTTCGCGGCCTTGTCCGAAAAAGAGGGGTGGGGGGTATGGCAGCGGGGTTAGGCGCTGGGCCGCAAAGACATGCCAACTGCCGGGCATAAAACACATTGCAAGACCACATTGGGCCATTTCCGCCCTCAGCCCCTTCTCTGGTCCCCTACCGCTCTCTGTGCTCAACCCCCTCTCCCCCTCTCCCTTTACAAACTCCGTGCGCGTACGCGCGTCCGCTGCTGCACAATTCCGATCGCGGGGAGAGGACGGGGGGGGGGGGGGGTCGGATCTCCACCACAGCGCCGCGCGCCTTCTCGACCGCGATGAATTTATAATAACGTAATTATGAATTTGATTACAAGTTTCGTATGTTTGCCTACCTGGCGGGCGCGCTTGGAAACCCTTGTGGCGCCGACCAAACGCGAGCGTCGATGGAGTGGATGGGCTGTGTTCTTTCTCACACGCCCCGCGTGGTGCCCCCTCCATAGGATCCCCTCCGGACCCGGCTGCCTCTCGGGCCGGGTACCGCCAGGCTCACCGCCAGGGTCGGGGTCAGGGTACCCAACTGCTTTCTCCGTCGACACTTCCTTCACTTCCTTCCTTTGGCCCCAAAAGTTTTCGGCCCTCCACCGGGGGAGAGAGAGAGGGGGACAAACGAGGAGACGCGGCGGCCGTGCGCCCGGGTTTTATGCACTCATTTTATTCGACTTTTGTCGGGTAGGGGGGGGGGGTGCCTCTTCTTACATCACCTTGCGGGGGCGTGTTGCCTCGGAGACCCCCCCCCCTAACCCGCGAGCCGCAACTTTACGACAGCGCAACGAAACGCAAACTCCGACTCCACCGCCTGCAGATTTCGGAAGCCAAGTTGCGTTTTAAGTGAGTATGAAAAATTGTAACTCCGCTATATTGCAGCGTCACCTTCTTCCCCAGCCCCGCCCCTCCCGCGCCTGCTCGCCATCGCACGCGTCATTAACCTCACCATGACCGTCGTGCTGCTGGTGGTGGAGGGCCGCGCGGAGAGAGAGAGAGAGAGGAGGGCGAGCAGATTGTTGTTATTGGAGAGGCCCCGGGCCGCGCGCAGCCGCGAGTTTGGGAGGGTGCGTTGCGTTTTGTTTTCAAGTGCACGGCGGCTGGTCGACTGTCGGTCGCTTCACCACCGATCGCGCATCTGTGCGCCCCACCACGATGCTCTGGTGTGTGGTGCCATAAGTACACTGAGAGAAATCAATAATCCACAGCGTCATTACTTCGGGATGAGCTTTACTGGCCGGGACGGACGAGTTTGGCCGCGCGCGCCACTGTGCTGCAGCCTGCTGTGTGTTGACGCCCATGCGGGGGAAGTCCTTCCTGACGAGACACGAGCAGACGACGGCACAGTGCGGCAGTTCGCGAGTCTCTGCGGGGCTGCTCTGCTGTTTGCCACCCTTGCGCGTACCGCTTACCAGTTTTGAAACTCCCGCGTCTTATTAGAGACAAAGTCTGCTGGAAACTTTTCGCAGTGCACCGTGCGGCTTTATGGTACCATCTCTCTCGCACACGTTCCTTGATTATTCGTTTTGTTGGTTCCCTTTTGCGTCGCATAGTTTTAAAGGGGACTGAGAGAAGAAGAAAAATAATCAAAGGACAACACCAAATATAACCTCGGCGCGCATTCGAGCACCAATAACAAACGCCCACACATCAAAAGCTCCCGCGCGCTGCGCCTGAAAAAAAGAAGTGTAAAAGGCTGTGAGACGAACATAAAGACGCCCTTTCGAGGAAACTGACGAGTTTCGTTCTATGCGAGCAGTGGCGTGTCTAATCCTACGGCAGCGAAGGGAAACGAGGGGAGAGGGGGGGGGGGGGTGGATAGAAGGCGCTGACCTCTCGGCAACAGTAAGTGCCATATTAAAATCTCCCAATGAATATGCAACCAGTTGGGAGCGCAGATCACGGCCGCCCCCGCTGCGGCCTCAGACCCGCCCTCTCAATGCTCCCCCTCCCCCTCTCTAAATGACGCCCTGGACCCGCCCCTGCGGCCGTGTGATGGCCGACGCCTACCGGATGTAATTAACAACGGCGGCCCGAACCATTTTGTCAGCGTTTGTGTGTGAGTGTGTGTGTGTGTGTGGTGCCAGTTTAGGTGTAACGCGATATACACAAACCGCTGTGTTCACTGCTTCTCTTTTTTCTAGCTCTATATTTTTTATTTTCCCCTCTTTATAAATTCCGGTTTACCCAACACATTGTTTTGGTAGTGACGAAAATAAAGTAAACAGCGATATGCGGGCCTTTGCACAGATTTTTATTTTTCATTCCCAATCGCCGCGGACCGTGTAGTATGTGTGGCTTTTGGGGGCAAATTGCATTTTCCGCACCAACCGCTTCAGCCACAATCATCAGCTCTCGCCTTCTAGTCACCCGCCTCTTTTGTTAGCGCGACGCGACTAAACACCACTTTGGGCGATAAGCCAAGTGAAGTGGGGGGCGCAGGAAGGAATCATCGTCATCACGAAAATAATCATAAATGTTTTAGTATGTATTCGTTTTCCAGGATGGTGTCGTTTAAGCAGGCGGGCGCTGAGCGTGGGACGGTTTTGTGAGTCGAGTCGCTCTGCTGATAAGCAGTGCCCCTCGCAGTGCCCCGCCCCGCACTACGGTCCGCACTACGCCCCGTTCAGTCGCGACGCGGATGTTGTCGGTTGGCGCCGTCTGCCGCCGCCGCCGCCGCGTCCAATGAAAACCCCAGCGGCAATTTATTTGCCTTGCAGCAGCGGAGCGGCAGTCCTTGGACGCACTTTGAACCGCACTGTACTGAACGCGGGGAAGGGGGCAGTACAGTGCGCCAGCGCACCAGATCAGCAGCACCGCAACTCTCTACCTATACTGTACCCGTCTCTCTCTCTCTCTCTCTCTCTCTCTCTCTCTCTCTCTCTGCCCCCCCCCCCTATCTCTCTCTCTCTTCAGCCCAGGGCTCAACCAGAACTCAGCGCAATGCTTATCTCTTGACTTTTTGGAGATGAGAAAGAGGGACGGGGAGGGATAAAAACTTCTCATGCACCCCCACGCCTCTTCCCCTCCCCCGAGGAAAGGGGCAAACATCGCTTGCGCCGTCTCCCCCTCATAAGTCATAGCCGAGGCACACCGACGCCATCGGTTTCCAAAGTCAGGTTTAATTTTGTGAAAACGGTGGGAGGGAAAGATTGCTGCATAAGTGCAAGGGAGAGAGATGCTTTAAAGTTTCCCTCTGTCGAAAAACGGTTTCCTGCTCCTGTGCGCGGCGGACCCGCTGCCGTGTATGGCGCCACCCACCTCCCCTCCTGCCAACTATTTATACAATTCTGATAAAGTAGATTGTGTGTAATCCATGAATAGTATTGTGCCCTTTTATGCCTTTTCGCATTCCTGTATTTTCTTTGTTTTAATCCGGGCGTCCTTGTCAGGGTGCAGGGTGGCGTGGCAGTGGGTCAAACTGCCTCGTGACGCCGGCGCACGGCCGCTCTCCCCTCCTCTCCCCGGCCCGCGACAGAGCCGCTGCCCCTTGACCGCCACAGGTAGGCAGCCCGCGTGACCTTGCGCGAGGCTCTAGGCTCAGTTTGGTTGCTCGGGATCGGGCCGCTTGCCTGGCTGCCAGCTCGGGCCGTGCGGCGCTGCTGGCGCTGCTGCTGCTGCTGCCGGGCCGGCGGGCAGGCCGGTGTGCGTGGCCGCCAGCCTCGTCTGCCTGGCCGGCTCCCCTCCCTCCGCCCGGCCGCGACGCGAGCGATTCCCCCATCACGCTCGCGCCGCCGCTGCCGCGCCGCGCTCTCTGTTCAGTTGCCGCCCAGCCGGCACAGCCGCCGCTGCCGCACCTCGCCGCCGTCGCTCACCGCGAGCGATTCCGCGTCCGGCTCGTCGTTTGTACGACGGCGCTCTCACATCTCTCGGACATCTCCGGCACGACGACGCCGTCAGCGCCCGCCGCCTTGAGACGCTGACGTCACCAGTGGCCGCCGCTAAAAGGCCTTCTCGCTGAGTGTGTCGTCTGCTGCTTGAATACCGTGGGATTAATTCTGAGGCCCAACAAGAAGAAACAGTTCTGTGTGCGAGTGTGTGTGTGTGTGTGTGTGTGTGTCTATCGTGTTGGTGGCATAGCGCTGTTTTGTGTCAATTTTTTTACCCCGGGGGAAGAAACAGTATCAACGCACAAGCAAAGCACAAGTACATGCTCAGTGATACTTCGACGATGAACCGCTTGGATACCGCCGCCTCCGCCAGGATTTAAGGCCTACCTGTTTTGGATATTACATGATATTTAAAGGTGAGTCTGGCGGTGTAAGCGTCAATAAGAAGTTAAGTCCTGTACCAGTTGGTTAAGATAGCTGCGCGCCATGCCTTAACTACAGGTCGACTCTTCGACAATCAGGCATCTTGTGACGCAAGGGTCGATTTCCTTTCCCCTGCCCATCCCACCTCGCCTAGCTAGATCTATTTCTCTCTCTTTCACTAAAGCCGTGCTCTAGGCTGGCGATGCCGGCGCTCCTGGGCTTTTAGTCTTCATTTTTTGTACCAATTTTTCTCCCAACGGCGGCCCGAACCATTTTGTCAGCGTTTGTGTGTGAGTGTGTGTGTGTGTGTGTGACCACATCGGCAAGGGACGCGCTGGTTTGGTTTACAGAACAAATTTGAAGGGGATGGTCTATTCCGGTCTATTCACACAAAACAACAAAACCACGGCAAGATTAGGGCGATGGGGTTGAATTTTTTTTTCGGAGGGGGCAGCCGTTTTTATGCACTGTCTCTCTCACTCACGCATACTAACGCGCGCGCACATACACACGCACACTCACATACGTTCGCCTGTGGATAGTGTCCCATTTGGGTA